CCCCAAAACCCCAAAACCCCAAAACCCCAAAACCCCGCTTATTAAGAATTTGATATTAAGTATAAATTTGTCTTTTCTGAATTATAAATACATATATACATTACATATACTTCTACATATATACGAAATCAATGGAAGGACTTAGAAAGAGATAAAAATAAGCTCATATCAATCCAGAGGAGCAATTGAAAGCAGCTTTGAAATAAGAAACAAAAATAGAGAAAGCTGAAGTTAGAATAAAGTTCTAAGATGTCGAAGGAAATCAATTAGCAGAAGAAATTATGATTGATTCTACTGCCTCTAAAATGGACCTGAACAAGCTGATAGATTAGATAATTGGAGCAGAAGAGAAATAGATTTATCAGTTTTACTTAGATGACAAGGAAGTAAGAACTTCTATTAAAGAAGCCTTAGATAAAGCGATGAAGACTAATAAGAATATAAAATCTGAGACAATTATTCCTTTGACATATAAACCAGAAGCAATGTTTAGAATCAGACCAATTACCAGAGCATCCTCTACTTTAGAGGGTCATAGTGAAGCTATTTTGAGCGTTGCATTTTCTCCAGATGGCAAGAGTTTGGCCTCTGGATCAGGAGATACTACAGTTAGAATTTGGGATCTATTGACAGAGACTCCTCTTGAGACTTGCGTTGGCCACAAGCATTGGGTATTATTTGTTTCATATTCTCCTGATTGTAAGAAAATTGCATCAGGTGGAATGGATCATGCTATATTTGTATGGAATGCTGAAGATGGTAAATAGATTGGAAAGCCACTTAAAGGACATAAGAACTTTGTAACAAGCATTTCATGGTAACCTATGATTTCATCTTATGAAAGCAGACATATGGCAAGTAGCTCAAAGGATTAGAGTGTGAGAGTATGGGATACTAATAATTCAACTTGTTTAAAAATATTTACAAGCCATACTGCATCAGTAACAAAAGTGCTATGGGGTGGAGAGGGACTCATTTATTCTGCTTCATAAGATAGAACTATCAAGGTTTGGGATTTTGATAGTGGATCAATGACCCAAGAATTGAAAGGACATGCTCATTGGGTTAATACTTTAGCATTAAGTACTGACTATGTTTTGAGAACAGGCTGCTATGATCACACCTAAAAAGAATTTGAAGACAGTAAATAAATGCAAAAATATGCTATTGAGAGATATGAGAAAATTAAGGATCCTCAAGGAGAAAGACTTGTTAGTGGTTCAGATGATTTGACAATGTACATGTGGTAGCCGAAGCAAGGAAATAAACATATGGCGAGATTAAGTGGTCACTAAGGTCTGATAAATATGGTTACCTTTTCACCAGATGGATTCTATTTAGCTTCAGCTTCTTTTGATAAATCAATTAAGCTTTGGGATGGGAGATCTGGAAAGTTCCTAACTTCTTTCAGAGGCCATGTTTAATCAGTGTATCAAATTGCCTGGTCGGCTGATTCAAGACTTATCGTGAGTGGTAGTAAGGATAGTACTCTTAAAGTTTGGGATATCGAGAAGAGAAAACTTATGTTTGACTTACCAGGCCATGCAGATGAGATCTATGCTGTAGACTGGAGTCCAGATGGAGAAAAAGTTGCTTCAGGAAGTAAAGATAGAATGCTAAGAATCTGGAGGAATTGAGAGTTGTGTTAAGATAGCAAGAATTTAGACGAATTCAAGAGAATTAATTAATATTTATTTCTAACTTAATTAACTTAATTGATGAAATTAATATGCTAAGTTATTCATTGAAACTGCAATGCAAAGCACTCAATAATGTTAAATGGGATTGAACTTCCTAAAACTCCCAGCGTCCACCATTAGAAATCGTTGTCTTAATTATTCAGTCCAACTACTGTTACAAGAGTTACCATAATTGCTGACTATGCGAGATTTCTAAATGCTGTAGTATTCTTTATCGAATTAAAAAGGTCCTAATAAGTGTAATAATTTTGCACCCAAGGCATAAATACGAACATAAAGTATTGCAAACTAAATATTGATATTATTAGTTAGATAAATTTCGCTCCTCTAGGTTCTCTTCTTGGCTTAATTGATAAGGAAATAACAAGTGCACAAATAAATGTAAAGAAAACATATGCTGAAAAGAATGTTAAGAATGAATTCTTTATTCTATACGATAAAAATGTTTAGGTGCTAAGATAGTGTATCAGTAAAAACATGACACTGTTTTGCATGATAGGATCGAATAATGCAGTGAGAATAATAAAGAAAACTTAGATTCTAGTAGGGTAGTTATAATACTGCTTAATATTTTCTGAAACTCTCATAAAGTATCCTGCTTACTCAATTTGAAGTATGTCTCTATCGTTTTACTCTTAGACTATTTGCAATTCTACTTGAGTATCATCTAGCTTTTAGAATTCAATCTACTTCTTAGATCTAAGTTTGGCTGTTTCAATTTCAACATATTGACTTTCTATTTTTTTCTTGCTAAATATTCTATCGAAAAATCCCTAAGGCTGCGCTGTTCCATTAAGTTAAGACTTGCACTTATGTGTATCTGAGAAATCATTTATCTCATGACAAAACTAGCACTTCTATTTGCATAGCAAGCATTAGTTACAATTATTTTCATGGGCCTCTAAATCTTTGTAGTTTAACACCATCTAGCAGGATTCTGAGTTATTTTTGCAGGTAACTTTGAATTGATTAAGGATATTTTGTAGGTTTCGTTAGATGCCAGTATATGATGGCTCTTTTTAATAGCAATTTGGGCAATAATTCTAGTAAAGTAATGACTTTACAATGCAATTTTAACAAAAATGCTGATTACACTTGCAACATTGCCTAGGCTAATTCAAAAGATTGCTACAGAGTCCACATCTGACAAAATCTAGTAATTTTTAGACCTCAGAAAGGTTAGAAATCCTATCAATTGTAATTTTGGATGAATCTTTATGTTTGTGGCAATATTAGATTTGTTTTTAACAGTAATGGCTTTCCCTTTCTTCAAATGTCTTTATTTACTGTGTACAAAATGGGCAGCTTATGCTTTCATTTTTACCCTCTTTTTTGAATAAGCATTACTGGGTTTCATGCATACTAAGTTCTGAAATCAAGATCTTGATTCTACATCCTTACGTTCTATTTATGCATGTAACTTTTATCTTATCCAAAATATTTTTGTGAATCTCATTTAGGCCATCTAGCTCTTTTACATCATTGCACTCTAGACATATAGCATTTGGACTATTTGCTAAACAGTCATCACAATAGTAAGCTTGATTGCAACCGCAAGCCTTTGGATTGAATTTTGAAATAAGAATTTAGTCACACATCCTGCAGGTTAGCAGCTTAATGTTCTGATCAATAAATGAGTCAGAAGTGTCAAGTCTATTTCGATCAATAATCTTACTCATCTTTATCAATAATTTTATCAGATTTTATATTTCGAAAAATCTCATTAATTCTTATTCACTTTTCACTTTCATAAAGCGGGGTTTTGGGGTTTTGGGGTTTTGGGG